ATATATAATATTATTTTCAAATTGGTTGCAAAGATATAAATTATTGAAAATGCAAAGAATTGTCAAAAACAATTGCAAGAAACCAAATTTCACCAAACGTGCTATAACTATAACAGCTCTATCCAACTCAATTCGGCGGACGGAACAAGATGTTAAAACTTCCATTTTTCAAAAAAGGCATTCCAATCATAAGCGGTTTTTTCAGAAATATCACCCTCTCAAAACACAGCACAGATATCACGAGCAACTCTAGTGGACTTAGAACTATGATTGAAAGCAAAAAAAGAAAGAAGTGTAGAAAATGCTCATTTTTATCAATTTGACTTTTCATTTTAATGATCTGAGTATTAGTATAAATTAATTGCTCAAAACAAATGCATTCTGGTAGAACAAGACACTCTCCTTCGAGTGAACTAACGCATTATGCCAAGAAAATTTAATCTAATGCGAAATGTTAAAGTTTCCAAAAACGGCAGGAACTTAGTTGCTAACCTAATATGCGAAATACCTAAATAAAAAAGTGGTAGAACATACATGTTTAAACCAAGTAGAAATTAACTTTCGCTAGCTACCACTTCAGCTTTAAACTTAACTGTGTTTTTACTTTAGAAACGAATCTAAATATTTATATTATTAATATAATTGTAGACAGAACAATCATGCTTATACAAAGAAAATCTAAGAACAAAATACTTGCACTACCACTTTCTTCTTTTTAGAAAAAAAAGAAACTGGCCTTCTCTCTATGAAAACTATAAGAAAATAGGTTGAATATCGATTAATTTACTTTTCTTTGCATTTCTTAGGAATCTTGAAATTAAACTTCGTGGTGTTCGATAAATTCCTTATAGGTGTGACAATTTGTTCGCATTGGTTCCATGACAGCTTCTTCATTATTTTTCACTCTAAAAGACATATATAAATCTAATATTTATAATTATAAAGGTATAAATCCTAGCTATAAAGTGATATAAATCCTAAATATAAAGAGATAAATCAAAAAGATATAAAAATACACATGAGTTAATTAAATTTCTTTATGCATTTCCTAGGAAATTTGAAGTTAGATTTCGTGCTCTTCTATAAATTCCTTATAAGCGTGTTAGTTGGTAGATTCAATGTCAGTTTTTTCCTTGTTTTTCACTCTAAAAGATATAAGTCTAATATTTATAAATGTAATGATATTAATCCTAAAAATATAAAGAGATATAAATCCTAAATATAAAGATATGAACCCTAAATATGAAAATATGAATCCTAAATATAAAGAGATATAAACGACAAATATAACGATATAAACCCTAAATATAAAGATATAAATCCTTATTATGAGGATATAAATCTAAAAGATATAAAGACACAAATGGGTTAATTAACTTTTTAATGCATTTCCTAGGAAACTTGAAATTTCGTTGTCTTCTATAAATTCCTTATAAACGTGTCAGGTAGTTCGTATTGATACCATGTCAGTTTCTTCTTTATTTTTCATTCAAAAAGAATTTAGGGCATTAGTGAGAAAATCTTAAGTATTGACAAGACAAAAGGATTACGAGATAATTCCCAGTTAACACTTGTCTTTTCTCGACAATCCTAAAAATCTAATTTTTGTTTTTTCTTTCAAAACCAATTATCAGAATTAACTTCACTTTCTTTAAACGCTTGAATAGATTTCAACAAAATTTAATTTTTCTTTCATTAAAAATCTTGTCAAAATACGCTTGCGGAAACAAATCAACTCGAATTTTAATTTTATGTCAATTTAATGACGGATTCCTAAATTTTGCTCTCGCCCATCGTTCACCCTTATAAATGTCAAATATTCTATTGGGGACCATCTACATATTACGTCACGCATGACTGTGAATGAAATTGTGAACAAAAGGAAGGGGTGACACGAAATGTGACATCACTCATTTTTGTTTTAATAAATGCATTTGAAATCAGCAAAATAATCATTTTCATACTATTTATTTTCATGTTCTTGTTTGTTTGTTCTTTTCATCTATGTTTATTTAAAAAAAATAAACATTTTACTTTTTCTGTCATTTTGTTTTGTAGTTTTTGATTTTATTTCATTTCGAAAAACATCACTGCTGAATAAAATTTAAGTTAAGTCCTAGTTGAAATCGAAGAGAAAATATTCTTGGGCATTTACACTTTTATTTTGTCATAATAAAGAACTTTTATTAAGATTTGCAAATTTTGCATTAAAATAAATGCAATATAAGAAATGAGATAAGGGAAATTAATATTGAGTCAAAAATTTACATTGAGTTTTACAATTCAATCTGAACTGTTTTGTGCATAAAGTAAAAATAGCACTTAATCAAACTACGCCAAATTTCAAAATAGCATGCTCAATTGTTCTTTTATATTAATATATATTGAAATTTATTAGTATTGCATACATATATTTTTAACAAACACAACTTTATTAAATAAATTAAAAGATAAACATCTAGAAAACACATTTATCCCCAAAAAGAGTATTCTGCCAGAGTGATAGATAAATTATATAAAATAATATTTTATCAAGTAAACAGTAACAGATTAAAAAAAATATATATACTATAAATTAACCTTAAAAATAATTTACTAAAATAACAAACGTATATAAAATGCAGTATAAGATTGGACAAAGAAAAACTAATGCTTTATGCATATATTTTTAGTGAAACAAAAGAAGAAACAAAACTAAAACTTAAAAGTTTTATTACGAAAATTTTACTTAGATGAAAGCAGGGAAGAAAGTTGTTGCATTTCTTCATTAAAGTGAAAAATATTGATTTACCCTAAATTCATAAGATGCATGGGAGTTACATTTTACATAAACATTCTAGGAAATTACTTAGAAAAACTTTTTTCTAACTCTGTCACTTTAAAAGTTACATACGTTTACGTATTTTGCGCCGCCTGTATGACGAATGTTTATGAATTTAGGTTTTATTGTCAATATTTATTATAAACTCAAATAAATCACATTTAAAGACTGAGTATAATTTTAAAGTCTGAAAAATACAATTATGATATTAATAATATTTTTGTTGTAATCCTTAATCTTATTTCATACACATAACAAATACACATATAATCAGTATCAGCCAAGCTCGGTTTTGATGACATTTGCATATATGGTCACTTTTACTGGTTAAAGATTTTTTATTTTTAGGGCATTTTTTTAGTTTTTGTTCCCTTTTTGTTCATTTCACTACATTTTTGAAAATTTTTTGAAGTACTAGTTGATTTTTACAATTTTCACACAATTCAACTCCTGCAGGCCGTTCTAGTCGCAAACAACTTGGCGAACTTATACAGTAGGCACAGATGTACAGTGTGTTTGAAAAATGCCAATCTAGACCATCTAAATCAAGTTTATTCATGAGTTTGGTTTGAGAGTATTCGTGCACCAAAACAGCATTATTTTCTTCGTTATTCTTGAGTTGAAAATTGATTTCAAAATTTAATGAAAATTACATCTTATTTTCTCTTAATAAGAAGGTTTTAATACAATTGTATGTTAAATAAGTTTTAAGAAGGAAATGATGGTTCAGACTGAATTCCTTGTTTGATTAAAAGATTTTTTTTCATTTTAAATGTGCAAATAAATATTTATTTGGCCAATTTTTGCTTTTTAAGTGAGTTTTTAGGTAATCAAAATACAGGTTCTAATTATCAGGTTTCTACAAAATTTCGAAGTTACGCGCTAGCTATGTTATTTTAAACACTATGGTTATTTGCTGATTCCTGATTATTTTTATTGTTATGCTCAATGTCATTAAAACACATAAAAATAAAATATAAAATTTGAAACATGAAAAACGTATCTCTGAACTGCAATCATAAAGTACATGTTGAAGTGTCACACATTGCAACAAAGAAAAAGAGGGAGGATCACAAATGTTTTAAAACTGTGTGACATCATTTATGAACAGCCCCTTCATGTTATTTTGGTAATTCTTTTTCCTCTACATACCAAGCGTTCAAAAATATTGTTTAATTTCTTTATTGGTCTAAAACCGTTTTTTAACGCTCCCGTAGTTTCTTTAATTGGTGCTAAGAAATTAATTTGAAGATACTGAAGCATTCTTCATTGCAAAGGTGACAAACATGTCAAGCAAATTACATCAGAGGGTGGACGCTCACTGAGATAAATGGTAAATCATTTTTTTGGTAGTATAAAAGCAAAAGGGTATTGAATAACTTATCATACATCAATTGGATAACTACAGAACTGTACAATGAAGTTTTTGGTAAGTCATTTTCAACTCGTGTATTAAATCTTTCAATTATTATGAAGGCTTGGATTTTGATGATAGTTTCCCTTGCGAATTCTTATGCTTTTCGGGAAAGTTGTTTAAGATTCGTGGATATAATTTGTCTTTTTTTTTTTAAATATTTGTATAATTCAGTTTTAAGACATTTTTCTTAAATACTAGCTCATTTTTATTTATTAGTTAGACTAATCAGCTTAGGCAAAATTATTTTTCACATTTATACTAAGTTATACTATTTTTCGTTAAAGTTCAGTTTTCTTCAAATATGCTTTAATATCGTTTATAGAATTTGAAAGAGGATTTTTCAGGTATAAAAATTTGCAGTTAGACAAAAGACGCTCTTAAAGTTCAGTTTCCTTCATATATGCTTTAATATTCGTTTATAGAAGTTGAAGGAAACTTTTTCAGGTATAAAAATTTGCATTTAGACATAAAACGCTCTTTAAAGTACAGTTTTCTTCATATATGCTTTAATATCATTTATGGAAGTTGAAAGCAGCTTTCTCAGGTATATAAATTAACAGTTAGACAAACATGCTCGCTAAAGTTCAGTTTTCTTAAAATATGCTTTAATATTATTTATAGAAGTTCAAAGAAACTTTTTCAGGAATAAAAATTTACAGTTAGATAAAAGAAGCTCTTTGGTTTGAAAATGTCTCAAAACATTAAGTAGTTAACTTCAATTCTGATGGAAAAAAAGAAGCTCTTTTACATTTGAAAATATCAAAAATCGTTTAAGATTTAAATTTAATTCTGATAGATAAAAGAAGTTCTTTCACATTTGAAAGTTTCAAAAAGCATTTAATAATTCAATTTAATTCAGAAATTTCGGTATTTCTGCAATTAATACTAACTTTAAAATTCAATGAAAATTACATCTTAAATTCTCTCAGTATGCATGTCAAGTTGGTCATTAAATTTAATTGATCTACTTGATTGAAACCCACTAGAAAATTATCTAACAGATAACTTGACTCAAATTTTTACCTTCCTTATAATTTATCATCGTATCTGAAAACTCTGAACAACGAAGATAAATCCTATTATATTCTTGCATAAAAGCTTCGCCTTCTAAAAGCATGCAAACAAAAAAAAATACCTTAAAATATTATTATTTAAGAGATGAAATTGTGCTAAATGTTGTCTTATTTATTAGACGCTTAGTCTCAGGACCAAGGAATACATTAGACGCGTGGTCTTGACGATTCCTTCAAACTTTTTATTCCATATACGCACGCAAAGATGCACTATGTGCTTTGCCTTTGAGAAGACGTTCTCGGAAGCGCATACAATCAATGATGCTTAAAAAAATAGATATTTTAAAAATGTCACAGAGATGTTCCATTAAAAAAAGTTATCTTCTACAATATGGAAAAGCGTAATGCTCATCTTCAATTTTTTATGCAAATACATTAAATTTACTTTAAAAAATTAATGCAGTATTAAATGTTCAGCTCCATAGTTTAGTTTACATTCAACCCTACCAAAAAGACAAGGAGACATCTGGCTTAGCATTGGGATGAACTCTCCTTTGTGAATGACTTCTTAGTTTACATTACCCCACGTTTGAGTTGCACGGAAAAGAAAATCGTGAAAAATCCCATGGTTAGCCCAAAATCAAAGGAATTTCAACCTATTACATATCTACAGCTGGAAACGATTAGCATCAGTGTAATCAGTATATGCCAATATAACGTCAGACGCCATTCAGGAGCAGTATATAAACCGACTAGCCACCGTTGAGATTCGAGTTTGTGTCCCCTCATTAGAATAAGTCAGTGCTTTATTCAGTGAACTATCCCACTCAATAGTTATTTTCTGTAGAATATGCTAAAACATACTTTGAGCAACTTTTGATTATGTTTTCTCGTAAGAAGATAAAAATTTCATGGTTTTAGGGACACACTTGAAAAATGAGAACGAATTGCGTAGACGAATAGCTAAGATACGAAATGAGATTTTTTTTTAAACGCATCATTCAACATTACCCAAATACTGTAGTTCTCGAAAATAATTCGCAGTTCTTCTACAGACTTCTAATACTCTTTAAACAAATTTGTTAGTTTACATTAAACTAGTTAGTACAGTTAAATTGGTCAGTTAGAGATCGAAAATTGTAAGTAATCAGTCAAATAGTTCTCAAGAAATCAAGTTTTTAAATATACGATAATTAAAATTTTATAATTCTTTAACAATTCATTCGGTTTCATTGAAGATTTCTATTTTGTCATTTACTTTAAGATTATGTAAATATTTGCATACCTTACTGTTCAATTTTTTTCATCTATTATTATATAAAATAATTTTAAGAAAATATTTTTGAAAAAAATGTGTGAAATTATCTATGAATAAATAAATTTCATATTGCGTGCAAAAAATTTTAAAACCACTTAAAATGTTCTCGAAATATAACGAAAGTCGTAAAAGGTGAAATTAATATTAATTGGATCAAACTTTTGAAAGCTCTTCTGACCCAGCTATTGAGACCATATTTTCCAGATTGCAATAGCCGCATTTTGAGGATCAAACATTCAAATCCGTTAAAAAAAAGCATGCTTATTCAAAGAAAGCACGTTTTAGTGTCTGATTTAGCAAAGTAAAATATCAATTGCACTGATTAGCTTGTAATTAAGGATATTTCCTTTGAGCTATTGACTTTGAGTCCTAATACATCAAAGTCGGATCACAAAACCAAACATTAATAAACTTTCATAAAATGAATGTGAATGTGCACATGCGTATTTATTTTTTTAAAAGCTCGTTAAATGATAAAAACATTAGTTTCTTTTCTAAAATTTAAGTATTATGCATTAGAGAAATTTTAAACGTTTTAACTTTTTATATTATAATTTGTAAAAAGATTTACAACAGTTTATACAAACGTAAAAATTTTCAGTTTCCATAATTTAGGCTGAAAATATAATATTTCATTATTAATTTTTAGACCCCGATTAAAAGCAACTTTCGTTTCTCTTCTTAAAAATTTGATTTAACATCCTCTTATCTTATGTCTTGTAACTTTATTTTATTATACAGGATGTTCCGTAATAACCTCTCTTTGCTTAAATGTTTAGAATCTTCATCTAGAATGAAGTAAAATAATCTGTCTACATCAATGCTTACCAATCAATATTTAAGTGAGAAAAAATAAAACACGTTTTCATATACTAGTCAATCATTATTGAGACAGGAAAGAGCATATTAAGGGCATAATAATAATCATCAAAACCAGTTTATTTGTAAAGAAAGACTGCCGCCTACTTTCAGTATTCTATCATAAATAAAATGAATTTTTTAATACTTTCTTTGATCTTATTGATCTCAATAATGATTAGTCAGAATTTAATAATATTTTCGTTCTTTTTCGCTTAGATACTAATTTGAAAGCCGCTTATTGTGCATATAGAACTGTTAGGATTCTAAAAATATGTAACAAGGGTGGTCATAAGGAAAACTTTTGTATTGATTTACCATCACAAGAAAATCTCCGGAAAAGAGCTTGACCCAGAAATAAGGAAAAGGTGGTAATAAAATTATTTCAATTCATGCTTGTTTTCAGAAGAAATAAAAGTTTTATGACTACCATGACTTCTTATAATGTAAAATGCTAAGCAAGATTGGTTATTGACTGGTAAAGCATTTTATTCCTCCTATCAGCAAACTGGAAATTAAATGAATTTTATACCTGACTTTTTTTTCTCGTTTCCAAGTACGGTTCCTTGTAGGAGTTTTTCTCCAGATGGTAAGTCAATAGTTAGTTCAATGTTATAAATATTGTAACTTTATTTTTTTATATATTTAATTTAGGCTTTTCTGACTCTTCTTCTGATTGGTGAAGCACTTGCACACCCCACCATAGTTAAGAAATATGGAAGTAATAATAATGAAGAATCTGAAAGTTATGGAAATGAAGAAAGTTACGGTGCAGAAAACGATAAAAGTAATGAAGGAAAAGAATATCAGATCTTAGGAATGTATGATGAAGGTTTAGAAAACAGTTATATGAAAGACGAACAAGCTATGTCCAATGGATACTCGAAGACACAAACCAATGAAAACCAAGATACAAGTTATGGCAATGGGGGTGACAAAACTGGCATTAGTTATGGTACTGAAATGGGAAATAGCAATGGATATGGCTCTGGTGCTGGTATGAGCAGCGGAACTAGCAATGGATATGGTATGGGAGCTGGCTTAGGTAGCGGAACTGGGAGTGGCAACGGATATGGTATGGGTACTGGTCTAGGTAGCGGAATGGGCTATGGTGCTGGATTAGGAAGCGGAACTGGCAATGGAAAAGGATATGGTATGGGAGCTGGTTCAGGCAGTGGAACTGGGAGTGGTAGTGGATATGGTATGGGTGCTGGTTTAGGTAGTGGAAGTGGCTATGGTGCTGGATTAGGAAGCGGAACTGGCAATGGAAACGGATATGGTATGGGAGCTGGTTTAGGCAGTGGAACTGGGAGTGGTAGCGGATATGGTATGGGTGCTGGTTCAGGTAGTGGAAGTGGCTATGGTGCTGGTTTAGGCAGTGGAAGTGGCTATGGTGCTGGTTTAGGAAGCGGATCTGGCAGTGGAAAGGGATATGGTATGGGAGCTGGCTTAGGAAGTGGAACTGGCAATGGTAACGGATATGGAGCTGGTATGGGTAATGGAGGAAATGGCAAAAATATGAATGGTTATGGTAGTGAAAACTCATATTCCAAGGGAAATGAAAAAGGTTCAATGCAGAAGTATATGGAAATGCAATCATTCGTCAGCTATCCTAAAAACTATGAAAAAGAATCCAGCAATGATTACAATCAGAACATGAATGGTGGATACACTAGCTTCGAAGAAAATAAAAATGGAAACCAAAAGGAAGGCAACATTATTATTGTACCAATTATCAAGCATGTACCTGTAATAAAACATGTTCCAGTTGTAGAATACATAAAAGTAGTGAAAAAAGATAACAATGAAGGAAAGAAACAGAAAAGTAATGGCTCCCAAGGATACAGCAACGGAAAAAATAAAAATCAAGATTTCTCGTCTCAAGGCTATATGAGGAGAGGAGACAATAGTCACATTTGGATGACTAAAGAAAGTATGAATAACAATCAAGGAGCATGGTCCAAATCAGATGGAAAATCCCTAAAATATAATATGTGAGAAAAAGTTATGGAATGAAATGATGGGAAAGGAAACCATGAATAATTGTAAGTTTTAAATTTTTAATTAGAAAATTTTGATATATATAGACTCTCTGTAAATACTACCTTTTATATGCATTCTTAAAATCTCTATCAAAAATGAAAATAAAAAAGTGTTCACATGCGTTTACAAATAAATATTTAAGTTAGGGGAAAAAAACAAAAATGCTATCAAAACCTGTCAAATTACAATAGCGTAAGACGAAACTTGTAAACATCAAAACAGGTTTAATTAAAAGTTAAAACTTGAAGGGGTTTCTATTATTCTTCTTTCAAGTCCTCTTCGTTTTCTACCACAATCAAAACCAGTTTCATTACTTATTACATTCGCTTTCCTGCACTGTGATTTACCTGATTTCGATAACATTTTTGTTTCTTCCCGGCTAGATATTAGCTTGCGATATTCTAGATATAAGCATATTTTTTGTTTCCATTTTTGATAAGGTTCTTAAAAATACATATGAAGTCTTTATGGAAAAAAAGTATATTTATTTTGTTATATGTTTTAGATTAATCCATGAGGCAACACCCCAAAATTATTGGTTATATTAATACAGGATTATTTATAACTTCCTCCTTATTTTCAAATAGCTATTGTAAAAAAGATGACAAATACAGAAAAAAACGAGCGAGCTTTGCACTAAGTACAAAAATACTTCAAGTTTAATTTACAAGAGTGAACCCTTAGTGAGTAACTAGTGATACGGTACAAATCGATACGAAAGTTTAGTCCCTGCCCACTCTACTCAGTATAGTACTATGTACTTTTTTTATATTATAACTGGCGTTGAATTGCCGATCCAATTTTGAGGTTACGACTATCAATGATCCAATTTGCAGCTTTGTAATTTCGAACTCAATCTAGAAAGAAAGAGGATTCCTGAATCAAATGCAAGGGTAAACTATTCTTCGTACAGAACTTTTTGTCGGGACTGATCCGCATTTACATTACTTGGAGAGGAAAACCACGAAAACCTTCCATAGTTAGCCCAACGACAAGGGGATTCTAACTCATGTATCGTCTACAACTGAGGATATTTTTGCGTCAGCATTGTGGTGAGAATCTTGAGCAGATTTTGTATTGACCTGCCATTTCTGAGATTCTAACATGGATCTCCTCATTGGGAGGTGAATGCTCTATCCCCTGAGCTACCGCGACTCTACCAATTTATTACATCTTATTCCTTCACACTTTTCTGCTAAATCACTCAGTAAAGAGGATAGGAAAGTCACATGTTTACGTAAAAGTCACACGATAACGGACCACAGGTGATGACAAAAACTCAATACCATGTTGAATGGAGTCGGGCAGAAACGGTGTCTTTTCTCGAAAAGTGCTAAAATTTTGCATTTTCACCCCAACTTCCGTGTTATCTCCATCGATTTAATTGTAATAATTGGAAGGTGTGGTAGGTATTTTTTGAAAGAGAAATTCAAATAGAAGCCATTTATGTCATAAAAGTAAACTTCGTACCGTTTCATTAAATTTTTTTTTTATTTTTTTTTTTGAACTGGAATATTCGGGCCTTTTCTCGATAATAACAAGCTAAGGATGCAATGGCTTTACTACTTTTTTTCGCTTCTCTACATTTACTTAACTTGCAAACTTATATAAATTTAAAATTGCTTATTTTAAACATCATATTTGCTTTAGTTATATAAAAATTAGAAACTTAAATGTTATTAAGTTTTAAAAAATTCAAAAAGATTGAAATGTCTTACCATAGAATTATGAACAACTTTGTATAGTTATTAAATGGTGCGATAACGCGAAAGATTTAAAATAAGACGTGTATTTTTTTAAAAAGAAAGTTCCATACATGTGTTATTAATTTGATTAATATTTAATCACCATACTTAACTTTTTAAAAAAATGTATGCAAATTAGTTTAATATTCATGTTAAAAACATGCAAAAAAATTATGTGAAGTATGTAAATTATCTTTTATTTATTTCCAGATGTCACAACTTCTTGTAAAGTCATCAATCGTATCAGAATTGTATTGGAAATTGCAATTGTTTCGGAAAGCAGTTTATTTTATTCCATTGTATATATATTCTTGTAATTAGTTCGTATTTATTTAGTAAGTTTCTTAAACATTTTACATTTAAAAAGTTTGGTAGAATTTATCATTTTTCCTTTGATTATTATTCAGTTTGACTTCAGTTCTTTATATTGTTACCAAACAAGTATCATTATAATGATAAATATTTATTTATAGTGCTTTTCTCTATTAAAGAAAAACAACACTATGGGCATTCTGAAAATCAGGAACTATTGTGAATTTTCATTGTGTAAAAATAATAAATAAAATGTTTTTATTTCTCTACACATGCATTTCATTATTTCTCTACATAGTTAACTTGAATTTCATTTTCAAGTTTCCTTTCTAAAATAGTTTTCTACATCATTGCATCGAAAAGTGCAGTTTTTAAGAATACATCGAAAGAGTATCGTAGAAAGTAATGTTTTATTACAATTTCAAGAAATATTAAACTTCCTTCTCCTTTAAGCTATCTTCCGACATTTTGACAGAAAATTTAAGAAAAAATTATTTTTGAAGCTTGAAAAAACTTCCGGATCTTGTAAAAATTATAAAATCAAGATATCAAGGAAATTCCAGATACATTACAAAAAAAAGTTTTCTATGCTTTCATAAACACAAGATGAATATCTGTTAAATAGTATCTGAGTTCATAAAGAGTTATTAAAGATGGTTTCTAGAAAACGTTATTGAAGCTTCAAAATAAGTCATAAATATAAGCCAAAATATAAGCCAAAATATATTCCCAAGATATACCTTGCCCAATTCTCTAAAGGATAACAGATGGTGACAAAAACAACAGACAAAACAGAAAGTTTTCATTTTCGATTAATGCTTGAGAAAAATTTTTTTTATTTTTTATTTAGTACATATATTAATGTTTTTGGGGGGTTAGCTTATAAATATAGTCTTGTTAATTCCTGTAATTTTTATTCAGATTTTTCTAAGAAAAGCATTAAATTAATTAAAAGTAAATTAACAGAATATTTGTTAAGAAGCATTGAATTTAATTCAAGTCTATTGAGCATCGTACAACTTCATCGTTTTTCCATTCAATGTTATTTAATTATTTAATTTTGTTTACTATTCCGAAATGTGAAATTCTTCCTTGCTTTTAAAAGATGAAGAATTTATAATATTTAAAGCATATTTGGTAAAATTCTAGCAATAATACAAGTAAGAATGTACACTTGTAATATAGACTGTGAAAAAAAATATTGTATCCTCACACAAAAATAGTGGCTTTTAACACCAAAGTGGTGTAAAGAAATACCCAAAATAACTTTTGGTTTTTCGTATTTCACTACACCAAAAACTAGACATACGCTTTAACAACCGTGGTGTAATAATGTGGCCAATTATCTCTCCAAATTATTAAATTATCCAAAAAATTGTATGAAGGAACACATTATTTCAAGTTAACATCAAATAGAGCGTTCATATGCACTTTAAAAGGAGTTGGTAAATCTGAACACCAATAATAGAAACTGTTTTCACCAAACTCATGCTCATTCACACCATTTGTGAATTAATTTCCCTTCCGAAAACATCAATTTCAAAATGCTTTATATATCGTCTGCAGATTGTTTACAATCGAGTTCGAAATATCTGTACTCAATGTCGATGCTTCTCACGCTGCTATACACATTCTAAGAAGTTTTGCCACCATTTTTTAATGTATTAAAATACGCTGAAATTAGAAATAATATATATATAGTTTTAGTTTATCAATTGATTATGACGTAAAAATCCAGTCTTTTCATTGAAAGTTATTCGGGGTGTTATTCTTTTATCAGGAAAGTTATTCCCTTTAATTTTGAGCACTTTAGAGTGAGTCAATACATAAATNTATGTTTCGAGTGTCTCTAATCTTATATATGATTATCAAATTGTCCAGATTTTAAGTTATGAGATATTAAATTACGAAATCGAACACAAAAATTAACTTTTTCAGTTTAAACATATTTTTTTCGGTTGATTTCATAAAAAATTCAACTTCGAAAAAAATTGCATTTTTGAAATTCAATTTCTCAGGAACTATTCGACCGATTTCGCCTAAATTATTTATTTTGAAATTTAAAATTGCATTCTTAAAGATGATATAAAATTTTGCATACCTTTTATAATTCAAAATTCTTTCGACAATTATTAAATAAAATAATAAAAATTATAAATATTTACTTAAAGTTATATTTTTTATGGAAGTATCTTTGGATAAATAAATTTTATGATTGTGTGAAAAAAATTTTCATTTCGCTTAAAAAGTTCTTGAGACATTTTGAAATACTTGAAGTAGAATTAGCATAAAAAGGTTCAAATCTTGCACCAAAAGTCGGTCTTCCTGACAATACTTACTTCCATAACTAACTTGTATAGTCGAGGAGACACATTACGTCCTAGAAAATGTTTTAATATATTCATGTCTTAATGACTCGTAAAAAAACCGCAATTGTTTCTTAATCCACCTATAATGACCTCTAAGTTTAGAATTTTTTTAAAACGTTGTTTCAGTAAATGTGAGTGACTGGTACTTTATTCGAGGTACCGATTCGCTGACCACTGGGGTGCTACCACCCTAAATGTAACTAAATAAAAGCAGTTAAATATCTTCTTTCCATGTGCCTTAGAAACACCAGTCATGGGCCAGCTAGTAGCAAGCGTGCCACTCACTAATTTAGTAGGAGAAACCTCATCAGATTATCGACTTTATATTTAAAAAAAAGTTTCCTTTTTTTTAAGTAAATAAAATATTTAATCATTTTAATTCTTTATTCAATACTTTTCATTAGATAGTGTATAATTTATAATGCTTTTGACCCCCATTATACATGATTTAAACATTTAAACATATATTGAGAAGATGTGTTAATCATTTTATTCAAATTTTAGATGATGACGAAATTTTTAAATATTTTTGTTTATAGTTACCAATGCAATTGTCAATTCATACCAATAGGAATCACTTTCCTCAGTGCTTATAATAATACTTATTGAAATCTTAATAAGTAAATTCTTATTGAATTATTATTGCAAATTATTATGCTTAAATGCACCATGCAAAATTGTGCTGAAAATAATTATGCACAGTTAAAATCACGAATATTAAAATCTTTGCATAAATTCTCTATTAAAATTGTCAAAATAGGTTAATATTGCTTCACTTTTAAGTTTTAGACAAAATTAAATGTGATTTTTAGAATTTCCCTAATAAAATTATAGAAACATATGAAAAGTGCACATTTCGGTCAACTTTCTTACTTCTCATTAATCTCATTATTTATGAATTTCATTTTTAATCTCTCACCAAGTTCAATGCTAATTGAAATTTTTTTCAAGCCTCTATGCCATAGAAAAATAGCTAAGCAAAATTATATTAAAAACAATTATGCACAGTTAAAATTAAGGATGCCAAAATTCTCTGAATATTCATAAATTGGGTATGCTTAACGTTATTTTAAATTTTTGAACTAAAATAAAATTAATTGAAAATATTGATACAGGTTTTTACTGCATATTACAAGCTTTTAAGCTGAAGTAAATCATATTAGTTACGATGTGCCTACTTTTAATCAAGCTTATAAAAGTTCACAGTAATTACAGAAATCTTATTGCACATGAATGCATCAAAAATAACTTTTCAAAATTATAAAAATAATTACACACAGTTAAAATTAAGAAATATAAATGTAAAGCAAAATGGGTGGCAGATATGTTTCACTCATTACATTTTCATTAGATTATTTATATTTTAATTTTAATCATGAAATCCTACTATAAGTTACTACGCTAGAATGCATCGAAAAAAATAATGCAAAATTATAGGAATAGTTATACACAGTTACAGTTAAGGATGCTAAAATTCTTTAAAAGTTTACAAAATGCGAAACTTTTACGTTACCTTAAAATTTCGATCAAAAATAAAATTGATTTTTAAAAGTTAATTAGTTGATTTTTAAAAACAAAATGGGTGACACTATTAATTCATTTTCTTTAGATTATTTATGATGTTATGATTTTAATCATGCTCTTAAATTGAACAGAATTTTATTGAAATCTTACTGCAAGTTACTATGCTTAAATGTATCAAAATATAATTACGCAAAATTACCAGAATACTTATGCACAGTTAAAATTAAGAATACCAAAATTCTTTAAATTTTCAAAAAAAATGCAGAAGTTTTAATTCGCCCTAAAAGTTTTATTAATTATAAAATTGATTTCTAAAAGTTTATTAGTTGATTTTTAAAAACAAAATGGGTGACACTATTAATTCATTTTCTTTAGATTATTTATGATGTTTTGATTTTAATCATGCTCTTAAGTTGAACAGTATTTTATTGAAATCTTACTACAAGTTCCTATGCTTAAATGCATCGAAATATAATTACGCAAAATTACCAGAATATTTATGCACAGTTGAAATTAAGAATCCCAAAATTCTTTAAATTTTCAAACAAAATGGAGAAGTTTTAATTCGCCTTAAAATTTTTATTAAAAATAAAATTGATTTCTAAAGGTTTATTAGTTGATTTTTAAAAACAAAATGGGTGACACTATTAATTCATTTTCTTTAGATTATTTATGATGTTTTGATTTTAATCATGCTCTTAAGTTGAACAGTATTTTATTGAAATCTTACTACAAGTAACTATGCTTAAATGCATCGAAATATAATTATGCAAAATTACCAGAATACTTATGCACATTTAAAATTAAGAATACCAAAATTCTTTAAATTTTCAAAAAATGGAGAAATTTTAAGTTGCCTTGAAATTTTGATCAAAAATAAAATTTATTTTTTCAAAAGTTTATTAGTTGATCTTTAAATACAAAATGGGTGACACTCTTAATACATTTTCTTTAGATTATTTATGATGTTTCAATTTTAATCATGGTTGAACAATACATACTGAAATCCTATTACTAGTTACTATGCTTGAATGCATTCAAAAATAAATAATAAAACTCCTTGTAATTCAAAAAATTAGTTTGTTTTTTATTTTCAATCTTTAGATACGAGTTGTATCGTGGGAGTTCAGGCATTAACACGTGGTTGTAAGTGAATACTAAAGTTATTCAGTGCAATAGCTAGTGAAATTGGTGTATCATTATGATTATGGACATTCTCTATTTCCGGGTTAACATTTGTTTTTGTTTGACAATTCTCTCCCCTCGTTATCTGGAAGAACTGAGGGGCGTTGTCGGTATCACGGTTCAGTGATTTTCTGAATTTTAAAATGAAATATATAAAAGGAGAAAACTTTTTTAAATCTAAAACAAAGACATTTCGTTACCACTTCCTTGGATTACTACTCTTACTAAACAATGAAGCGAATGGTAAGCTACTTTTCTAACTTATTCATATTTTTAAGAAATATTCTTTCAGTTACATTGAAAGTTCGTTATAACGATGGAATTCTCTTTATAGCGAATTTCTCGCAATAAGCCATTCACATATGTATTATTAAAACAGCTATAAAAAGAGTGGAATTGAATAGTTTAAAATAGTTTTTACGTCATTTATAACAACTAATTTTGATTTCAATAGTTAGCAGTTAAGAAGGGAAATAAGGGTAGCCGAGTAGACAAAAAAAGGCATAGCCATTTGAATTGTGCTACAGAATCCTGAAAATAGCAAAATATTTCATTTCAATTGTGAGAAAGGATATAACTTGGCCAGAGTTTGCCCATGTATATTTTGTTTACTAAGATAAAGGATTAGAAATTGAAGAAGGAAATAAGGTGAAATTATGTTCGTTTCTCATTTTTCTGTATTGATACAAGATATTATTAAAAACGTCTTTCCTTTTGCCCCTTTTCGTATAATTCTGCTCATTTAAACGTCAGAAAAATGCATTCCCTTAAAACATTTCTTTTCCTTGTTATAGCAGAAAATTAGTACTTTTTAATTTGTTATAAAAATACAATTTTTGTATCTTTAAAGATATCATTTTCGCAGTTATTTGAAAACTTGTAATAGTGGTATTCTCGTTATATTGCTTCATGTTATATTCAGCTTTTACTATATTTTAACTAATTTTTTCACAGCTTCTTTCATTTAAAAAGATAGTTTATTTATTTATATTTTTTAAAAAAGTAGTAAACAAGTATTTCTTTATTAGCATTTATTTAATATTGAAAAAAGATGGTTTTATCTACCATGATACATAAAAAATATAGGTCTTAATATTTGGATTTGAAATTAACACAGAGGGTTATTGAAGCTGAAAAAGTAGGTAACAGAAAAGAATGTCGAATTAGATATAAACAAATTTGTTAAAACTTCCTCATTTCATGTAGCTCCCACTTTTCATATGATTTCATATGTCAGCTACTTTTAATGTCATGGGTATTCATGGATTAAAAAACGATACTTTTAGTTTTTGAGGAAATTTGAATTATTATACTTTGAAATGAAAAAATTTTATTTATGAAAATAATCTCTTAATTAATACTACCAAAAAAAATTCCATTACCTTTTTTAATATTTAAAAATTTCTGTAGGTAAAGTTGAATATTTGAATATTTTATTATTTATTTTTAAAAAAAACAGCACCAAAGCATTAATTATATTTTTTGTTTAGTGTTTTTAAACGAATTATTACATAAGACACATTCTATTGGCTTTTTAAAAAGGCTTAAAAATTTCTCGAATTACTTATTTCAAAATTTATGTGCCCAAAATATATTTTCAATTTTCCTGAAAAAAAATTTGATTAATAAAATATACAGTCAAAATGTCTTACATTACTCGTTTATATTTGACAATTATTATTATATAGATGAAAAAAAAGCAAAACTAAAGGGGAAAAAGCATTTAAAATTACAGCAAGGACTGTGGAGATAATGACTCTGATTTTTCTGAGAGAAATAACTGACTTGTGTTTAACTTTCACCGAATTCAAATTCTACTATAACATCAATATTACTATATTTAAGTAAATTTTATATTACTATAATTAAGTAAGTTATTTACCCAAATTTATGTATCAATTTAAGTACCCAAAATATGTTCAATCGAAGTGTCTTACATTGCTCTTTTATATTATTTGACAATATTTATTTTTAAGTTGGAAAAAAAGCCAAACTAATGGGAAAAAAGCATTTAAAATTAAAGCTAGAACTATGAAGATTACGACTCTGGAATTATGAATTACGAATTTTTCTGGGTGCAAAAACCAGGCTTGAATCCACTGAATCCTACTAAAACATCGATATTATTATAATTAAGTAAATTTTAACTTGAAACTATATATTTTTATTTTTTTAAGTACGATTCGAAATAGCCATATTTTATTTAAAAATAAATTTTATGTCAAAGCTTGAAAGTTGAAGAAATCAATTTCAATAAATAAGTTAATGCAAAATGCTCAAATTGTATTTCATTATTAGGAACTAATTTGATATCAATATTATGGAGCAAAACTAACTATCGTCACTGACTATTGGGAGACTAAATATAATAGATGACAAGAAAAAAAATTCTGCTAGTCCCCACCTTTTTGGTCGAAAGGGCATTCAATGTGCATTTCATTTTATTTCATTTTTCTAAAAATAAATATTGAATTTTCTGAGCTATAAAAATTTTGGTACTTCATGCTTGTTTCTAAACTTCTTTCTTTTTGAAATAAACCCTGAAATGTTTACCATATTTTGAAAAATACTCCAAAAAATGTCTTAAATTATTAACCCTTTCAATCAGAAAAATTTTATAGTTTCAAGATATTCCCTTCATTCGATCAAGACATTCTTTCATTCTTCAGAAAAAATGGTTAAATAACTATTTATTTGATTGTTATTTTAGCATATTCAAACAAAACAGCCAAATTACCATAAATAGGATGGTATTCAAAATGTGATAAAACCTGTTTATTAACTACTTTTGGTTAATCAACTAATTTTTTATCGCGACAACTAAGCCCACCTACTGAGGCCACTTAGTTCCTTTAGATGAGTACACATCATATCTGAGAGGATAAATCTGTCAGTCTCCTGGCCAAGACAACAGGGGTTCGAATCCCAGCGTTGACACCACTATACATCCTCCGTTTTCTTCAACACATGAAGAGTCTCCAGAGTCATCCCTTCTTAAATGCTCTTGGGCTATTCCACGGTAACTTACGTTACATTCACATAAACTTTATTGCATTGAGAACTAAGAAGCAAACAAATAATATAAATACACATATTAAAATAAAGTGATTTCCTAAAATTACAATCAAAACCAAAAGGAATTTAATTAAAATAATTATTATTTCTCAATTTAAACAGTGAAAAAGCCTAAAATTAGTGTGGTAACTTACGTTACCGAAAAAGGAATGGCATTAATTTGCAANTATTTCTATTAAGTGTAATAAACAATATTTATTCTTTGGAACATTTTGAAATTAAAATAATGTTAACTTACTGATTTTCAAAAACTGACCATGTTCTTCACCAAAATCAGAACAAGTAAATGCCTATGTTCAATGGGTTACCAACACTAAAAAAGTGAATTCTCAAAAAAAAAAATTATAAATTATCAAACTTCAAACCTTTCTAATTCAGAAAACATCCAAAATTATAACATTATTCTTATTTGAATTTTCCAATGCTTTTCCCCTTTTTCATGGAATTGCCCTCTTTATTTAACGAAAAGCCTAGCTCCAATGTCCAGTTGAATTTCATTTCTACGGTTCTGAAGCCATGCTAACTGTAAATGGTTAAAATACCATATAGTTTTGTAATCACGGTCTTATAACCATACTAGTTGTAAACAATATCAAAATCGTTAAAGTAAAAAATGTTCTTTACCGTAAACTTCACGATTAGTTGAATGGACAGACTGCTGCCTGTTATTTTACCATAATTTTAAGATAAAAATTCTAACAGTGCATCCTACTGCTTTAAGAAATCTTCTTCAGTCGGAATATGTATATAGCTTCAAAAAATCTTCGTCAGTTAGAATATGTCCTTTTGTTTCAAGATATTCACTTTAGAAAGTGTCTTCATCATCAAATAAAACAAAAATTCGGAGGTTCTGATGATTACTAATTTAGTATGGGTTGATATTGATGTCCGGTATACCGGATGCCAGATCCGAAGGAGTATATCAGTTTCTTTTATCGTTTAAAATTTTCAAGTTTTGAAAAAACAGCCACTGTTAAAAATGTCACTGGTCATAAGCAAAATTTCCTAATTTTGCACTGGAAATAATATCCATAGATAAATAATGTCCAATAATATATCTATAAATAATATCCATGGAACCCAGAATTTCTAGTATATATTATATTTATAATATTTAAAGTGGTAGCGAACTAAAAAATAAATTAAGTTTTGAATGTTTAATTTTGACGACACTGATGGATTTCAGTGCGAGTTCGTTCGGTCTTTTAAATTTGTATAATTGTTCACATATAGTGTCTTATATTTAATTTATTACATCAAAAATAAAACAAAAATTTACTACCAATTTAAATATTCAAAAAAAAAATCCCATAAAAATGGGAGAAATTGGCATGTATGAATATCCCCCATGCATATTCGCTTATGAACAAACATCTTATGATAAAATGGTAAATTAGTGAATGTACATGAAAACGAAACTATTCATTTGCATCAACTTTTTAATTATTTTTGCAACTTATCTAGATAAATTCCGCCTTTAANTATTTAAAGTGGTAGCGAACTAAAAAATAAATTAAGTTTTGAATGTTTAATGTCTTATGATAAAATGGTAAATTAGTGAATGTTCATGAAAACGAAACTATTCATTTGCATCAACTTTTTAATTATTTTTGCAACTTATCTAGATAAATTCCGCCTTTAAATTTATAAATCAAAAGATAATTTATTAAAGATTGCCTTATGATAAGAAAGCATATTAGTGCTTATTCATGAACTACGAAACTATTGCAAATAATATATTAAATTCATTTGTATTATCTTTTTAATTACCTTAGCAACTCATCTAAATGAATTTTTTTTAAGTTTATCCAATATTAATGCAATAAATAATAAGTGGTAACAAATTTAAGTTATCCATGTCAACCTATCAATCGGCACGGTGATGTGAATCTGATTCCAAACTAATAAACTAAATGGAAAGTGGTAGTAATAATTTCTTTCTTCAAATAAAAACTAGAAAAAGATGTTTTTTTTTCTCTTTATCTGGCTAGTCTTGCCAAATCAAAATTCATATGTTTTTCTTCATATGTTTTCTTCAATTCATATGTTTTTCTTCTCTTTATTTATCTCATACGTATAAAAAATGCCTTGATAGAAATATGCATTTAAAGACAGAAATTAAACTTAAGACGATTGCCTTTGTGTCCGTCTAGGAGTAGATACAATTAAGCTCTTTAATTCAAAAAATAAATAAATAAAGGGAAAAAGAGAGGAAAACTGGTACCCCAGTTGTTTCAGGATTTGATTTTATTTCATCAAAACAAAATGCGAGTAACTACCACTATAGATAAGTAAATTTAAGCCACTAATTTAAATCTGTAACCAACAAATTATAATTTTTTTATTTAGTTTTGTTTGCATAATAAATGTTCACTTAATTTACTCTTGAGTTTACTATCATTCCTTTCATAATAGCACTTTCTACATCATTAGATTATAAAAATTAGGCTTTAATGAAAATTTTTACATACGGAAAGGATTATTTTTAGATTTTTCATTTACTCGTTATTGCCCAGGCTTCCTTTCAGGAAGACTGAAAAAAAAATTTCTCGGAATTTTTATTTCAAAAGGTAAGAAGTGGCATATACAGGATTTCATTATTCATATTATTATTATTGGCAAAGCAAATTATTTGTGTTTACCATAAAATATTTGTGATAAAATTTTTTATATGTGTGTAAAATTATGCGAACCTTCTTATTTCTTAACCCTAAAGTGTTAAACATAAACATAAAACTACTTTTTAAATAAAAGCATTGTTCGCATAATTAATTAAAATTCCGGCGTAGATGAAACGCGGGTGTTACTTCTATTTATTTACTTTTCTGATGCTCTAATTACAGGCAAAAAAAAAAATAAATAAATATATNTTAGTAACGCACAAAACAGCCAATCAAAATTGAGAACGCATGTATGTGAAAAGGTAATAATTTTTAATAATGCTGTCAAAAAATACAAAGTATAAACTGACCTCAAATAAAACTCAGAAGACTTCGAATCAAATAATTAAGAAAACTACTATTACGTTTATAAAAAGGAAGATTTATTAACTCAACAACAAAATTATAACATCGCCATTCCAAAAAAGAAAAGAAAAATCTCACATTTGTTACGTAAAGCTATAAAAAGACCGAACGATTATTTATGCAAACGATTATATATGATTATTATGAACTAAACTTTATGCAAACGATTGTTTATGACGTCATTAGATAAAAGTGTCATTAACGCAATATTATGCAGTGTTTATTAATAATTTTGAGTGTCAGTGTAAAAAGATAGTTGTTCTAAAGTTTTATAATAAAATGTTTGTTTTGATAGAACGCAGTTATTTATTTTAGAATTCCAATATATTTTAATAGCTTTGAAAAATCGGGTAGAGTTATTCGATGCACGAATCAACACTCTCTCAAAAAACTATTTTCATTCCAAATTATCAAAATATATTGAACAGAGCTTACTTGAAAATACTTATATCTTTAATATAAAATGGATCGCCGTGAATATCTTAGCCGATATCAACAGCGGCATATAGCTGAACATGATTTAGCAGCGCAAAATTAACTGGAAAATAATCGTAGTGCTATCAATACGCGACGGCGAAATGCGCGGCGAAGAAACGTTGAAAAGTCAAGACGTTTAAATGAAAACGAATACCTTGGTATACTTACGAATACTTCTGATGGAAACTAAAATATTTTGTCAGTTGATAGTATTGAAGTTAATTGAGCAATTACTTGCTGTGGTATTTGCTTTTGAAATATTACTTAAAATCAACTTATTAATATTACATGTTTTGATTTGTTTGTAATTTTTGTAAATTTTTTTTCATCAGGTTTTAATTGTTTTCATTTTAAAATTTAAATTACTGGGGGGGGGATAAAGCACCATATAGGGTGCGTCCGTCATCCTATAAGATTAATAATGATTTCAGTTAGGCTCTACCACGCGTGCTTCGGATACGGAAATTAATCTCCGGCTAATGCCCTATAGTAATGTGTTAAAATATCGCTTTATATAAGTTTATAATATTGTTTGTATTAAAATTGCTATATATATAAGTTTATAATGCTGATAATAAGTTCCTCTAACATTTTACAATCCTATCATATTCTCTCTATCTGATGTTGGTGCAGAAAAATTGCCAGCTAATCTCCAGGAAAACGACTTTAAGTTTGCTCGCGAAGCGAACGAAAATGTAATTGCGAAGCAATTATCGGGGGTTGGCGAGCGGTAGTGAGCAGGGGGCGGAGCCCTCTAGTATATATATATTAAATATAAATTCTAATAAAAAGTAGTTTGACATTTTTTTCATCCATATTCAACCATTAATCAATAATTAATTTTGTAAATTAGAGAAATTTCAAAGATGAGTAACTGTTTCTCTTGCATTTTAATAACTGCAAATAAGTGTAAATTTAGTCATTGTGACAGTCTATTTGAATATCTAGCACTGGAATCCCAAGAACAGAATTAAATTGATAGATTACGTTGATAAATACAATTAAATTATTTCGTATAACAAATTATGAATATAATAAACTAAATTATATTTAAAGAAGCTTATTAACAAATTTTTCTGGAGCATAAGTAATTGTTCAAAAAATAGAAATAAATATTCCTTGTTGCTAGGTGTATAGGTTTAACATTTGAATTTTTCAAATACTGCAAAAAAGTTTTTAATCTCCAAAAATTATTTGTAAATTTGAATTTGTATTTCTGGTAGGGTTATGTTAACATATATTTTTTTAATGCTTTCAGCTGTCCCTATGCACTTTGTCTCTGCTCTTAGCACTAAGTCATGGATATTATTCTGATGAAGTAGAAGATGAAGCAGCTGGTTATGGAATAGGAAGTGCTCATGGTGGCGGTTACGGTGGAGGATACGGTGGAGGAAGTGGATTAGGAGGCGGAAAAGGACTTGGCTCCGGAGGAGGATTTGGTGCTGGTAAAGGTTTAGGATCAGGCTTTGGAGGAGGAAAAGGCCTAGGTTCAGGAATAGGAAGTGGAAAAGGCTTAGGTTCTGGAATTGGAGGAGGCAAAGGACTTGGTTCAGGAATTGGAAGTGGGCACGGGTTGGGAAGTGGATTAGGACATGGTGCCGGCAAAGGCCTGGGACATGGCTTTGGTAGTGGAATTGGGCATGGACATGGTCATGGACTCGGCCATGGTCATGGTCATGGTCATGGATTTGGGAGTGGATTAGGAAAAGGACTCGGAAGTGGTATCGGATCTGGAATTGGTAAAGGAGTAGGTAGTGGAGTGGGCAAAGGTCTAGGTAGCGGAATAGGAAGCGGGGTGGGTAAAGGTTTAGGTAGTGGAATTGGAAGTGGTGTGGGAACAGGTCTAGGAAGTGGAATTGGAAGTGGTGTTGGTAAAGGTTTAGGTAGTGGAGTGGGTAAAGGACTAGGAAGTGGTATTGGAAGTGGGGTTGGTAAAGGTCTAGGTAGTGGAATTGGAAGTGGTGTTGGTAAAGGTTTAGGAAGTGGAATTGGAAGTGGGGTTGGTAAAGGTCTAGGTAGTGGAATTGGAAGTGGTGTGGGTAGTGGAGTAGGAAGTGGAGTAGGCAAAGGTATAGGAAGTGGAATTGGAAGCGGGGTAGGTAAAGGAATAGGAAGTGGTGTTGGCAAGGGCATCGGAAGTGGTGTAGGGAAAGGTTTAGGTAGTGGTGTGGGAAAAGGTTTCGGCAGTGGTGTCGGAAAGGGCATTGGAAGTGGAATTGGAAAAGGACTAGGAAGTGGAGTTGGAAAAGGAATTGGTAGTGGAATTGGCAAAGGACTAGGAAGTGGCGTAGGAAAAGGATCTGGCCACGGATATGGAAACGGTTTTGGTGCTGGAAAAGGATTTGCTGAAGGATATGGTGCACACTTTGAAGGATACAATGAAGGAACAGGGCTTTCTACTGAGTATGATGGCCATGAGCTAGAAGGTGGTTATGGTGCTCACGAAATTGACTCTTTTGAACATAATCCAGATGAGTCTTCTTATGGACGAGAAGGAAGCTTTGGATATGACAGTGACCAAGAAGAAAAAGTTCTCACTGTACCAATTGTGAAAAACTTTCCCCTTCTAGGTGATATTCCTCTTACACAATTTGTCAAGATACCAGTTCCAGAAGAAAGTTATGGTGGTTTTGGAAGTAACGATGGCTACGCAGATGAATATAATAAGAGCGAAGAAGACAGCTACGAACATTGATGATGAAAGTTTCATTTTTTCGAAAGGGTCACAGCGTCATATTAACTTTGATACAAATTAAATTATTTATTTATTTTTGTACATACAAATCTTTCATACCAATACATGAATAAACATGTTAATTTTATGAAATTGTTTTATTGGAGCTCAGCATTCTATAAAAGGTAAACAAATCTTTTTATGACTCATTTAGATTTTTACATTTGTTAAAACCTTCACGGGGAAAAAACGTTTAAATTTCATGTGAATAGTTCTAACTAAATAAGCCTAAAACACATAAAAAGAGCACGAAACACATTTTTTGAGATAAGATAATAAAAAACACGTTATTTAACATCTGAAATCTGGAAGAGGGGCAATCGTTACTGAGATATAAGAAACTAAACTATTGAAGATCTTATTTTTTACCATTAAAAGTTAATATACAAGAAATATTTAAAAGTGTTCTTGATATATAATTGTTTACTAATGAACATAAAATAATTCTTTGAAACTCAATGATAAAACAGCAGAAAACTTAATGGATAATTAAACACGCTTTTAAAATTTTATATTAAGTTAAGCAAACAAACTTAGAAATTTAACTACTATAACTATTGATAAAATTCTAAAAAACTGTTTTAATCCATAATTACTGTAGAAAAAAAAATCCACCTTATTGAAATTATAAAAAACTGACTTCAAGTAAAAAAAAAAGGTGGTACACATTTAGTCTTAGATTCCTTTTCAATTAAAAAAAACGAAAAACCGAATATATTGCTATAACTAGATATGATTATATATTATGATTTCAAAGCGATTTGTTTTTTTCCGATAAATTCTAAGAATAAAATATTTAGATTTTCATTTTTTTTAAATTCATTTTTAATGTATCCTTCCGAAAACGAAGCATTGGCATTTAATGGTTATAAATATTCTCCCTCGTAAATACAAACTAAGTTTTTTAGAATTTATTTTTAAAACTATGGAGGTATTTTAATAAAATTTCTCAGTTATTATTTATTAGGAAGACAAGGGCTAAATATAAGGAAAAAAATTACGAAATAATAACATCATTAAAAAATACGGTGTTTCATTTCAAACTATAACTTTTATAAAAAATTGCGAAAATTTTGGAAAAAAATTAATCTTTCAAAACCAAATTAAATCTTAGAAGCTAAATGAAACTAAAGACATGAATGAACTTGCTTGAATTTGTTCAATAAATCTGAAATAGTCTATCATTAATCTATCAATTTAAGCAAAAACAAATTTTTAAACAATGTATATAAAACAAGAATTTCGTTTTGGTGCGTGAACATTATGTCGTAGAAAAGGATGAAATGCAAAAGTAAGTAGTTATTATCTTTTCATGGAGTCAGTTATAGCTTTCTAGTAGGGGTAAGTTGATTTAATTCCTTTTTAAAAGGCACGTTAAATATTCTCTAATTTTTTTCCCAAATAGTATCAATAAAGTATTCTTCGAAAAATAAATGAGTAAATAAATTTTCTGCTTTTTCATTCACATTAATATTTTTACTGTGTTACACAAAATTGCTTAAAATTCTCGAAATAAGAAATATTTCAATGACTGCCTAAGGGCATTTAGAAATTACAGCGAGCATCCAAGAGAAATCTGTAGATGTTTTGAACAGAAAATTAAAAATATAGGCAGACATATATTTTATAGCACAAGCTCAGGTGCTTGGTATATACGTATATTACAGAGCACAGAAACATGATAAACATTAATAACTTTTGATCTAATGGTCGAATTGCAAAAAAAATCTTGACATTTAGATTGTTAACCCTCAAATATGAAAGGTAGACACAATCTTCAAAATATGGTTACATGATCTCCAAAGTTTAGTAAGTTCAGCGATGGAGTATAAAACTCTTAATATTTTTAAACAAACATACCTCTTCATGTATGGATTTGAATTTATGCCCGCTAATATATGAGATATTGCCAAAAACTTGAAAATAAAGTTCCAATAGCATGAAAAATTCGGTTCCAATAATATGGTTCTAATAGTAAATATGATCTCAGTAACAAGAGCAATAGCAAGTCAGAAAGCAACGATATTATGATTCAATAGCTGGTTCACTTTTTACATTTTTCAATGTATACGCACTTTTTCTTGAACGGATTTGAATATTTAACCGTTAAAATATGGGATATATCTGCAAACTAAAAAATATTGGTTCCAATCGAACAAAAAATGCGGTTCCAATAATAAAGTTCCAATAGCATGGTAAATATGTTCCCAGTAACGAAGGTAATAGCAAGTCAGAAAGCAAAGCTAACATGAAGTAATAGCAGGTTCACTTTTTGCGTATTTCACCATAGTTCCGAAATTATTCATTTCAATCAAAGAATCTTGCCAAAATTTGGCAAACTTATTTATCCAAAAATGATTTCATGTGAAAACTAGTTTTTATAATTAATTATCATTTTTTATCCTTTAATTTCCTAATGGAAAAAGTCTTGAATTGTAATTGTAAGATATATAGCTTTTTACATCATGTTAGACAATACAATATCCAAAATTTAAACGAAATCAAAATCTAAAATTTAAACGAAATCAGTAGAGTAGAGTAATTTATCAATAATGCATTTTTTTTAAAAAAAAAGGTTATTTTATTTTTTATTGGTTTTAACTATTCGTACGATTTCTTATTAATTTTTATTTCTTCTCTCAAAATTATGAAGTTTCAAGTAAGGTAAAAATTTGTATTCCTTACAATTCAATACTTTTTCGACCATTAGTTAATTAACGTTATTAAAATTAAGCATATGGTTAGTTCCACGGCTGGTAGACTGACATTCAGAAAATAAAACAATATAATGGTATTGAAATATAAAATAAACATACTTTTAAAGTAATTGTTCTTTCACTGGCTTATTGTCTTTATTTTAAACTGTACTTAAAGGTATAATTTAATTTCCAAATTTTCAAAATACTATTTTGATAATTTAAAAAATTGTTATTAGAAACTGACTGACATTAATGAATCTTACATCTATCAGTAATCATATTCTTAATTATTTGTTATATTTTTATCTATATTTTTGCTTTTGCTTATTTTCTTTTTTAAGTTGAATTCAAAGGAATAATGAAATTCCGAATTGTTGATTAGATAATTAAAAATAAAACTAGGGACTGACTGGCGTTGAACCATGGCATTGAACTTATGCCAGTTATCTGATGGAGTATGATTTCATAGATTTATTTTTATTTATTTATTCATTATTTACTTATTTATTATTTATTTTTTTACTTATTTATTTTTTACTTATTTATTATTTATTTAAATTTTTTTTATTTATTTATTTTTTACTTATTTATTATTTATTTATTTTTTTTATTTATTGTCTTTTTTTAAAGATGAATTCAAAGGTATAAGGAAATTTCTAAAATAATGTTTGGACGTTTGAAGATAATAGTGAGAAACTGATTGTCAATAATGAGACGACAATAACTACGTCAATTAGTTACTATGCTTTTAACTACTTTTTAAATTATCCGTAAAGTATTTTTGAAATTCAATTATACCTCTAAATTAGCTTAAAAAAAAGAACAATAAACAATGGACAAAAATCTTAAAAAAGAATTACATCTAGTATATTACAATGAACTTATTGTTTTACTTTGTGAATATTAGTCAGTTAACCATGGAATTGACCCTATACAAATTATCAACGAAATTCAACAATCCATGGTAAATTAATGCTTCATTGAGAAATTCTTACCGAAAATATAATAGAAAAAAATAAACAGTTCATCCATTTACTCAGAACACGCATCGTTAAACTCGTAAATTCTCTCCCATTTGTGCAAAGAAAAATAGCAGTGAGCTTTTACAAAATGTTTCATAATTGCAGGGTTGAAAAACAAATTACGTTTATCAATCAGTTAACAGCTAATGTCAGCCGACTACATAATTTTTTTTTCTCTTCTAAAGCGTTTGTGAATTGAACATGATGTTGAAAGGGAAAACTCTTGACATTAAATTTCACTTGATTTTCTTTTGGTTTATGAGGCCTTTTCCTCCAAAATAACAAAATTAAAGAATATTTTTAGAATTATTGTTGTGTTGTTGCTGTTCTTTTAAATTAATTTTATGTGTGCATATATATATATATATATCAGGGGTCTGTCTAGGTTTTTCTGAGAGGTAACTATTTTGTGAAAATTTAGACATAATTTGTGGAAATTAAAATTTATATTAAAAAAAAAA